CTGCACAGCTATAATGTTTGCAGAGGAATCCCATGGGGAAATGTATACGACTGCTGTCCTAGCCAATAACCTGAGCAAACCATTTACAGTGTGTTGCACAACTAATATGATGCTTCCAATGATTCAGAAGGAATACTTTGAATACTATTTTAAATACAAGTACTTATGCAAATTGTCAAAGAAGAGCAAGCAGGCTGTCTGCAGGTGTCTGGTGATGTGAAAAGGAATGGCTGTAATCCTTCACAAATGAGTAAATCCCATTTAGATCACTGTCCTTGCTTAACCTAAATATAGGTGGGTTGCAACTCACAGGCAATAACTTGATTAAAAACTTCTTTATAGCTGCTATTCTATTTTGTGTTTTTAGTTTACTGGAGTCCGCTGTTTTATATTCTCCTGTTATTTATCAGTGTCTGCTGACCGTATTGGGGCTGATTCTGTTACCCGCAAATTGTTATTAATCAGTTTTTGTGAGCTGGCTTGTGAGGAAAGCTGTCCTAAAAGGCAGAGTATAGATTTACTATGAATGCTTTATAGAAACAAATAGGTCTGTGTGCTGAAACCCACAATTACCCCTCAATTCAGCAGAAATGAGAAAATGCCTCTGCTGGATGAAGTGTGTTGTAACATGTTACAGCAAGTGTGCTTTTTCCTGTATAACTATTTTTCATATGCTAACTTATGCAGATATAATCTTAAATATAGACCTTAAATATATGCAGCTACATAACCGACCCGATTTCTTATTCAGATTGACAGCCCTAACGTAACACACCTGAACAAATGCATACAGACAGCTGGGTGTTGGTGATGCAAGCACAAATTACACTGTAAGCAAGAGTACAGTGGTACCTCGGGTTAAGTACTTAATTCGTTCCGGAGGTCCGTTCTTAGTTATTTAGTTTTAGTCCTTTCTAGCCAGGAGAACCCAGGGCCGCACAGACCGCGCAAGTCCAATAAAAAGCAACTAAAAACATCCAAGTATAAACACACAAAAACCCTGTTCTCAATAACATGGTTCAGCCTTGGAACAAACCAAGTGATGAGAAGTGTGTGCTTTCTTCCCACTAAATAACTATCAGGCTCCATGCAGTTTTAGAACCACAGATATATAAGCTAGGCGCCAAATGGGTCCTTAAACCAGGGTTACAGCTGCCAAAACGGAATGTCTAGTCGCCATTTTGGGGCCAGACAGCACAAAAGTCATATTTTTCAATACAGTGGTACCTCAGGTTAAGTACTTAATTCGTTCCGGAGGTCCGTTCTTAACCTGAAACTGTTCTTAACCTGAAGCACCACTTTAGCTAATGGGGCCTCCCGCTGCTGCCACGCTGCCAGAGCACGATTTCTGTTCTCATCCTGAAGCAAAGTTCTTAACCTAAAGCACTATTTCTGGGTTAGTGGAGTCCGTAACCTGAAGTGTATGTAACCCGAGGTACCACTGTACAGTGCTATGTGCCGCTGTCTGTGGACAAGCATCACACCCTCCTGTGAGTTCCCTTTCAGTGGTGGCCCAACCACAGTTTCACATGCTCAGGGGCAGGCATTACCTTGCAGCAAGTGTCCCCCATGAGCAGGGTTTTACCACTGTTGAAGCAATGATTCTTCAACATCAACTCCATTGGACTGGTCATGTTGTGTGGATGCCTGATTATCGTCTTCCAAAGCAACTACAGTGGTACCTCGGGTTGCAGACGCTTCAGGTGACAGATGCTTCAGGTTAGAGACTCTGCTAACCCAGAAACAGTACCTCAGGGTAAGAAATTTGCTTCAGGGTGAAAACAGAAATTGCACAGCGGCGGCAGCGGAAGGCCCCATTAGCTAAAGTGGTACCTCAGGTTAAGAACAATTTCAGGTTAAGAACGGACCTCCGGAACAAATTAAGTTCTTAACCCGAGGTACCACTGTACTCTATTCCGAACTTAAAAATGGAAAGCGTAATGCTGGTGGTCAACAAAAGAGGTTTAAAGAGTCTCTCAAGGCAAATCTATAAAAAAGTACCGTATTTTTCACTCTATAACACGCACCCGACCATAACACGCACATAGTTTTTAGAAGAGGAAAATCCGTAGGCATGCCACCCGTAGGCATTCCCTCCATAACATGCACAGACATTTCCCCTTACTTTTTAGGAGGAAAAAAGTGAGTGTTATGGTGCAAAAAATACGGTAGTATAAACACCAACAATTGGGAAACATTGGCCTGTGAGTGCTTCAATTGGAGAACAGCATTTGCCAAAGGTGACATGGGCTTTGAAGACACTTGAACTCAGGACGAAAGGGAGAAACGTGCTAAGAGGAAGGCACGTTTGGCAAACCCTCACTGTGATCGACTCCCGCCTGGAAACCTATGTCCCCACTGTGGAAGGACGTGTGGATCCAGAACTGGCCTCCACAGGCACTTACGGAATCACTGTTAAAACCGTGTTCATGGAAGACAATCTTCTTCAGCTACGAGGGATCGCCAAAGAAGACTCTTTCCATTATAGCAACTACTGAGAAAGCACAGGGGTGAACTCTGGGGCACCACTGTGGTGGAAGCTGGTGCCCTCCCATACGTGACTATAGTGGTACCTCGGGTTACATACGCTTCGGGTTACATACGCTTCAGGTTACAGACTCCGCTAACCCAGAAATAGTGCCTCAGGTTAAGAATTTTGCTTCAGCATGAGAACAGAAATCGTGCTCCGGTGGCCTGGCGGCAGCAGGAGACCCCATTAACTAAAGTGGTGCTTCAGGTTAAGAACAGTTTCAGGTTAAGAACGGACCTCCGAAATGAATTAAATACTTAACCCGAGGTACCACTGTACTCAGAATTAGGTGCCATTGAATTCAAGGCTAGATTACTGCAAGGTGTTATACATGGGGCTGCCTCTGAAGACGGCTCAGAAACTTCAGCCGGTGCGGAATTCACCGGGGCAAGACGGTTTGAGCACATTACACGGATTCTGGCCCAACTGTACTGGCTGCCAGTTAGTTTCAATGCAAAGTACTGGTTTTGAACTATAAAGTCTTAGGCGGCTCAGGACTGCAATACCCCAAGGACCGCCTCTTTCCATATGATCCTACCTAGACCCTGAGATATTCTGAGGCCCTTCTTCGTGTGCCTCCTCCTGAAGAGGTCTGGAGAGTGGCAACACGAGAAGAGGCCTTTTGTACACAGTGGCTCCCCACTTGCAGGATACTCCCCCTAGGGAGGTTCGCCCGGCACTTTTGCTACATATCTTTAGGTGCCAGGCAAAAATGTTCTCCCAGGCCTTGGGATGATTAAACAACACATGGCCTTTTAAATGTGTTACTGCTTTTCTGTTATGCATTTCTGTGTTTTTATACTGCAAACCATGCTGCGTTCTTCAGATGAAAGGTAGAATATAAATTTAATAAATAACAACAAGAAAACAACAACAATGTGCGCATAGGACTGCGGTCTAAAGCTGCTCCTTGCTGCTGTTGACCTTAGCCATAAATAAATTATCTGTACTTTTGCATTCTTATCCGCGCTCGAGTTAAGGCAGTGCATGCAGGCAGATCGCCTCCCAAGGCTGCCGAGCTGAGTACCGTATTTTTCGCTCCATAAGACGCACCGGACCATAAGACACACCTAGTTTTTGGAGGAGGAAAACAAGAAAAAAAATATTCTGAATCTCAGAAGCCAGAACAACAAGAAGGATCGCTGCGCAGTGAAAGCAGCAATCCCTCTTGCTGTTCTGGCTTCTGGGATAGCTGCGCAGCCTGCATTCGCTCCATAAGACACACACACATTTCCCCTTACTTGTTAGGAGGGGAAAAGTGAGTCTTATAGAGCAAAAAATACGGTAGGTGCAAAATAACAACAACAACTATATTTGTACAAGTACCTCCTAAGAAGACCCATAAAAAGCAACTGTCGCAAAAGGAATTGTTTTGAAAATAAGAACTATTTTGGAAAGAAAGTAAGAACGGTTTCCTCCTGGCTTGGGGCGCCCTGTTAGTGAAGTCGGCTCCTGTGCTTAGCACCTCTGCCCTGGGTTCTGCTCTTGGTCAGGAGAGAGGGTGAGAGTGTGGTGGCTGTTGGTCACACTAAAGCATGGGTAGGCAAACTAAGGCCTGGAGGCCAGATCTGGCCCAATCGCCTTCTAAATCTGGCCCGCAGACGGTCCAGGAATCAGCGTGTTTCTACATGAGTAGAATGTGTCCTTTTATTTAAACTGCAACTCTGGGATATTTGTGGGGCCTGCCTGGCGTTTTTACATTAGCAGAATGTGTGCTTTTATTTAAAATGCACTTCTGGGTTATTTGTGGGGCACAGGAATTCGTACATTTATTTTTTTCAAAATATTGTCCGGCGCACCACATGGTCTGAGGGACCGTGACCGGCCCACGACTGAAAAAGGTTACTGACCCCTGCACTGAAGGGTGACAGGAAAAGCAACTGTGGCAAAAGGAATTGTTTTGAAAATAAGAACTATTTTGGAAAGAAAATAAGAACGGTTTCCTCCTGGCTTGAGGCGCCCTGTTAGTGAAGTCCACCCCTGTGCTTAGCACCCCTGCCCTGGGTTCTGCTCTTGGTCACGAGAGAGAGTGACAGTGGGATGGCTGTTGGTCACACTAAAGGGTGACAGAAAAAGCAACTATAGCAAAAGGAATTCTTTTGAAAATAAGAACTGAAGTCCACCCCTGTGCTTTGCACCGCAGCGCTGGGTTCTGCTGTTGGTCACGAGAGAGGGTGACCAGTGGCTGCTGTTGGTCACACTAAAGGGTGACGGGGAAAGAGAGAGACCTCAAGAGATCCATCCCTTCACCTGACACCGAGCTTTTCTTCCTCTTCGTCCCCCTTGCCCACGCACCTTAACCCTTCATTTTCTACCCCCCCCCACTTTCTCCCCCCTGAATATGCTCCCCCGACCCCTCCTCCCTCTGCACGGCCTCCTTTCACCCCCACCAGAGGCGGCGCTTGAAGAGAATGGCGGACAAGAAGGCGGGGGGGGGGAGGGAGAGAGAGAGAAAGAGAGAAATTCTCACCCGCTCAGCGACGCGGCGCGGATGGCGGAGCTGGACTGAGGGAACCCGGAAGTCAGCTCCCAACAAGCTAAGAGGGAGGGAGCGCGCCACTCCTGACGTCACGCCGCCGCCCGAGGAGCCGCAGAGATAAGTAGGCGGGGAAAGGGTAGAGCGGCCCACGAGGTCACAAATTGCCAGCTGCAAAGCCTACTCTGTCCCCGCCCCCTCCTCGCCGGGAGTGGCTGCGATTAAAGCAGCAGCGTGTTCCACATTCAGGCTACGCGGGGGAAATATTTTATTTATTTATTTATTCATTCATTCATTCATTTATAACCCCAAAAATAATAAGGGGGGGGGAGCGATTAAGCAGCAGCGTGTTTCCCATTCAGGCTACGCGAGGGAAATATTTTATTCATTCATTCATTTATAACCCCAAAAATAATAGAGGGGAAGCGATTAAGCAGCAGTGTGTTCCTCGTTCAGGCTACGCGGGGGAAATATTTTATTCATTCATTTATAACCCCAAAAATAATTGGGGTGGGGAAGCGATTAAGCAGCAGCGTACTGTATTCCCCATTCAGGCTACGCGGGAAAAATACTTTATTTATTCATTCATTTATAACCCCAAAAATAATTAGGGGGGGAGCGATTAAGCAGCAGCGTGTTCCCCATTCAGGCTACATGGGGGGAATCATTTATTTATTTATAACCTAGAAAATAATAGCAAGAAAAGGTGATTAAGCAGCAGCATATTCCCCATTCAGGCTATGCGGGGGAAATCATTCATTCATTCATATCCCCAGTATGATTATCTCAATTGCATGCACGCCCTCCACTTTGCGGACAGCTGCGTCTGCAGCTGGGCTACATTGCAGCGAAGGGCCACAGCTCAGCGGCAGAACATCTGCTCTGCGTGCAGAAAGCCCTGGGTTCAGGACCAGCCAGCTCAAGAAATGCATTGTCCACTATTGCTGCAGTGGTGGCAGCAGCAGCTGTACCACGCTCCTTGGGGGCTGGATCTGCCACCTCTGCAGTGGCCTCGGTGAACAGAAAGTGCTACTCTCAACCCTAGGGAGAAAATGGTGGGGTGGTGGTGGGGGAAACCAAAGCTGAGATGTTCCGGAAGCTCTGCAAACTCAGCATCTTAGTAAAGGTAAAGGTACCCCTGCCCGTACGGGCCAGTCTTGACAGACTCTGGGGTTGTGCGCCCATCTCACTCAAGAGGCCGGGGGCCAGCGCTGTCCGGAGACACTTCCGGGTCACGTGGCCAGCGTGACAAAGCTGCATCTGGCGAGCCAGCGCAGCACACGGAACGCCGTTTACCTTCCCGCTGGTAAGCGGTCCCTATTTATCTACTTGCACCCGGGGGTGCTTTCGAACTGCTAGGTTGGCAGGCGCTGGGACTGAGCAGCGGGAGCGCACCCCGCCGCGGGGATTCGAACCGCTGACCTTTCGATCAGCAAGCCCTAGGCGTTGAGGCTTTTACCCACAGCGCTACCCGCGTCCCTCAGCATCTTAGTAATCAAGTGTAATTAAAAATAATAATAATCAAGGTCTTATATATATAATAAATGTTCATAAATGTACCAACCAAGCACGTACATAGATATGTGGACCACATGTCTGGAGTAGCACAGGAGGACTGCCCTGAAACCATTTTGACTCCCCAGCTGACCAAATGTTTTCTCTGCAAGGAGGGAGGGGGTGAGGGAACCTTCCCATTGTCTCAGGAATTGGGTAATCACCATTTCAAAGGAATGGCCCGACTACCAGGAAAGGCAATCAGATAAGGCATTATCAGATAACCTGGCAGACAGGAAGAACAACAACATTCACATTTCTGTTGTAGACCACCTTTTCTGTGATGTAGGTGTGATGTTTGTGGGGGGTGGTCTTGGGTTACACCCTTTCTGTGATGTATGTATGGAGGGGTGGTCTTGAGCTCCAGGGCGGGGAATTTAAAATGTCTATATAAGGGCAATATATATAATTTGAATTGATGCTTTTGAATTATGGTGTTGGAGGAGACTCTTGAGAGTCCTATGGACTGCAAGAAGATCAAACCTATCCATTCTGGAGGAAATCAGCCCTGAGTGCTCACTGGAAGGACAGATCCTGAAGCTGAGGCTCCAATACTTTGGCCAGCTCATGAGAAGAGAAGACTCCCTGGAAAAGACCCTGATGTTGGGAAAGATGGAGGGCACAAGGAGAAGGGGAAGACAAAGGACGAGATGGTTGGATGGTGTTCTTGAAGCTACCAGCATGAGTCTGACCAAACTGCGGGAGGCAGTGGAGGACAGAAGTGCCTGGCGTGCTCTGGTCCATGGGGTCACGAAGGGTCGGTCACGACTAAACGACTAAACAACAACATATAAGGGCAGGCACACCTTGGTTCTGGGTCCTCCTCCTTTCCTGTGTGTGAGGTGAGCACCCTGTTGCAATAGTTAATAAAGCTCAGACTTACAAGCTGCTTTGCTTCTCAATATTCTCTGGTTGGCCTCTGTTATTTTCTCCTACCAATAGGGAACCTACCAAGGACTCTGTAAGGGCTCTTGTGACCCCCATAAGGGAATAGGGGCAGATTTTTGTTTATTACACAAGATAACCCTACAATTAATGGGCGGTTTTTACAAGAACGAGCTCACTTGCTTTGTTATGTGCTAATTGGTTTGCTTTGATGCTGTGCTTATCTGTGAGCCCCTGGATGCTGGACTCTCAGAGGGGAGCTTTCTTTCCCCATTTTGGATAGTTGTCACTTATGCCGCTATGTTCTGGCAAAGTTCTGGCGAAACTGAAATACACAGTCTTCTGTGTGGTATAGTGGTGCCTCACAAGACGAAATTAATTCGTTCTGCGAGTTTTGTCGTCTTGCGATTTTTTTCGTCTTGCGAAGCACGGTGTCGGAAAAGTTTTGGAAAAGCTTCAAAAATCACCAAAGTCTTCAAAAACCTCAAAAAAGGCTACCACACTATGCTATGCTATGAGTTGCTTCTCGAAGTCAAGTCGCAACTGTATTAACGGTGTTAAGAAAAAGGAAACAAACTTGCAAGACGTTTCCGTCTTGCGAAGCAAGCCCATTGGGAAAATCGTCTTGCGAAGCAGCTCAAAAAACAAAAAGCCCTTTCGTCTTGCGAGTTTTCCGTCTTGCGAGGCATTCGTCTTGCGAGGTACCACTGTATAAGTAACGCTTAATGTATTAGCACTTTGCAGACAAGCCATGACAACCTCTCACTATTGCAGTGTCTGCCCTGCGTCTGTAGTGTATGGGGAGCGAGGCTCTGCATGCTGTATTATAAGTCTACAACTTTCTTTAATAAAACATCAGAATGGGTTCTTCCAGAGTTTCTAACATCCTTCTATGAAATCCCTGCATCAGACCACTCAATCAGGCCCTCCTTTGGGCCTGTAGTTCAGAATAATAATAATAATAATAATAATAATAATAATAATAATAGTAATACAGTGGTACCTTGGGTTAAGAACTTAATTCATTCCGGAGGTCCGTTCTTAACCTGAAACTGTTCTTAACCTGAAGCACCACTTTAGCTAATGGGGCCTCCCGCTGCTGCTGTGCCGCCGGAGCACGATTTCTGTTCTCATCCTGAAGCAAAGTTCTTAACCTGAAGCACTATTTCTGGGCTAGCGGAGTCTGTAACCTGAAGCGTAAGTAACCCGAGGTACCACTGTAATAATATAATAATTTATTTATTTTTACCCCATCTGGATGGGTTTCCCCAGCCACTCTGGGTGGCTCCCAACAGAATAAAAAAGCCATAGAACATCAAACATTAAAAACTTCCCTAAACAAGGCTTCCTTCAGATGTATTCTAAAAGTCAGATACAGTGGTACCTCGGGTTAAGAACTTAATTCGTTTCAGAGGTCCGTTCTTAACCTGAAACTGTTCTTAACCTGAAGCACCACTTTAGCTAATGGGGCCTCCCACTGCAGCCGCACGACCAGAGTATGATTTCTGTTCTTATCCCGAAGCAAAGTTCTTAACCTGAGGTACTATTTCTGGGTTAGCGGAGTCTGTAACCTGAAGCGTCTGTAACCTGAAGCGTATGTAACCCGAGGTACCACTGTAGTTGTTTTTTTCCTTGACATCTGATGGGAAGGCGTTCCACAGGGTGGGTGCCACTTCCAAGAAGGCCCTCTGCCTGGTTCTCTGTCAGAGCAATGCCCCTTGGGGTGTCCTGTCTGGCCTCAACCAGAGCAGGACCTCCTTTCCCTTTACAACATCCTTCGATTCCCACTTCAGCTGTCGGGATTTGATTTGTTCCTGATGCAGATCTTTTGTTCCTCCTTTTGTTCCTGATGCAAGACCTCCACTCATCCCTTCCTTCCTGGTTGGGATGTGTGTACACCGCTTTGTGGTTTGTCTCAGGTGCCAAAATGTCCTGTGCTGGTCCTGTATCCCTGGTATCTCAAGGCAGAGCCGGGATGAATACCTGGTGAGCGGCTACCAGTTGGCAGGTAGACATTGCTGACTCTTGAGAAAGATGGACTCCGGACAAGAAGCCTTTTTCTGCGTTCTTAAGTCACTTTCTCACCTCAGCTTACTATATGAGGATAGTGGACTGCCGTTATGTTGGAAAAGCATGTTGTGTTTAATTTTAAAACCTCAGAAATCGACATACACCAGCTGGGGGGAAAGGAACCAGTCTCCCTTTTATTTTATAATTTATTTTTTTATAATTTTTTATATTTTTTAATCATTTATTTCTATTTTATTTCTATTTTATTTTATTTCATTTCATTTCATTTCAGGCTGCTGCCAGATCAATCGCAGCTATTGCACAAGCCTGAATTTCGCCGTCGGTTTCTATGGCTAATAAGATATTTCTATTTGCGCAGGGGGAAACCAAAATCCGCTATTAAAGGATTTCAAAATGCGAGCTCAGAAATCACCACCCTGTGCGAGGCGCGCCACTCTTCTTTTATCTCTACATTCTATAGCGAGGAATGGGCGGGGCAAAGGAGCTGATAGGACAGGGGCGGAAAACAGAGGCGGGTCTTTCCTTTGCGCCCCCTGCCGGCCACCAGGACTACTTCCCCCCCCTTCCGCGCTTAGATCCCGCCTACTCAAAGCTGCCTGCGCTCGATGATTGGTAAACACACC